ATCGAAAAGGAGCACATAAGGAACACTCAATAGCTCTATTGTTTGTGGTACCTTTTGCCTTGTTCATATCCGTTGCTACCTTTAATACTTGTTTCCTTTCATCCTTGTTTCCTCTCTTATTTATCACAACTGGTGATAGGAACACGTATAGGCCAAAGAACTAGGACAAGTGCTCTGGACATTTATTCAATATTGTCAGTTCATCACGACTTGTGTGCCACATATATATATTTGTTCTTTTTTGTGCCTCCCAAGCTCCACATGTACTTCAGATCGGTATAGAAAAAGACCCTTGCAATCTCGATACCACTTCGCCTCACATTGTGTATCACTTAACCACCATTACCGGTTGTACCGCCACCGCTTATGTTGGTAAGAACTTTGTAAGAGCTTGGTAAGACGCTTTCACTTGTTGTGAAAAGTGACACCACTGCAACCACGTAGTCATTTGGTAGGGATAACTTTCACCGTTTGTTCCTTGTTTTGTGTTTACAATGACAAAGTTGTTCAGATCCACCGACTTATGATGGTATAGGTGTTGATGAGTACATGGAGTGGGAAATTGCCATCGATAACATATTTACTACTCACTTTATGTGTCCAAGGAGGAAGGTAAAAATGCAGTTAGTGTTTTGCGACATTCTGCTTTATCTTGGTGGGAGTCTTTAGATCCTTCTGATAAGCCTCAAACTTGGAATGATATGAAACTTCTTATGCGAGAAACCTTTGTTAATCCACCACCTGTTTTGACTTCATATGATGAGGTGCACCATTTAGAGGAAGAGTCTGTTGTTATTCCTCCTACTATGCCTAACCTTTTGCAAGACAATGTAGAAAAGAGCAAGGATGACGTGACAGAAAATGAGAAGCTCACAGCCTCATGTGAAAATTCAGAACTATCAACTATTACCCCTGCTGAACATGAGAGCAAAGGTAATGCCCTTGATGCTAAACTCACAGAAGGTGAGAGTTCTCTTGATGTGCTGAATTTTTCCACCAATCATGCTATGATAGAACCAATTTTAGTGGAGCATTCGCTTGATTTACCCTTGTCACAAGATGATTTGCTTGATGTTTCTTATGACGAAGATGACTTGCATGATGATATTTATGTTATACCCATGCAATTATTGAAGAATGATCACGCTATATGTGTGCTGAAAATGAGCACTTGTGCTGAAAATAGACTTGTTATTCATAATGCTAGTGAAGTTGATGAGCTGAAATTGTTGTCTTCTTTAAATACTTTGGGTTACATTGAATTTGATGTTCCGTGTAATCTTAGTTCTTTAGAGAATAAACTTTATGCATATGCTGATTTGCCATGGTTCTCTAGACATACATATCATTTTATTGGAAAATATAATTGTAAAGGAGAGTATATGGTGCATCGTGTCTATATTTGTTCAAATATGAAATCTCCTTATATTATGCAAAAGTATGATCAACCAAAGGATTGCAATTGATATAATCTTGTCATGTCAAGTTCCCTTAGTTTTGTTATAAAGAAACATGTTAAATTTCAAGAAGGAGAGCAATGTTGGCTACTACCGACAACTTGTCCACCAGCTAAGCTCAAACCGAGGACGGTTTGTTGTCAAGAAGGGGAGGATGATGAGGACATGGCACCTTCAGATACGAACAATGATTATAAGGTGCGCTCATTCCTATATTTGCATAGTGGCTTTGGTTATAATTCACTTGGTTCCACATGTACATGTCACTATTTGAATGTAGGTACAAATATGTCTCAACATGCAAGTTCATCAAAGTTGAACTTTCGGTTCGTCGGCAGCCCGATAGTGCCTCATTGGGAAGGCCATAACTCATCCTTCCGGAGTGCGATCGAGGTCAATGAGCACTTGATGGAAAGCTTGTTTGATAAGCTTTCAAATAGATCTGGTCCCATCTCAATATCACATCGGCAAGGCCTCCAAATCAGCAATATATTCTGTCGCTATTTCTGGCGGGAGCTACACTGTCGTCATGGGCCTGTTAGATATCCTTGGGACTCAGGCCCAAGTTGGAGCACGCCCCAAGAAGATGGAGAACACCTGAGAGATGGCCTTAGACGTCCTCCTCCTTGGCCACCACCTTAGGAGGCCAGCAAGGACGTCCAAGCCAAGCCAGAGGCCCAGTCCAATTCGAGTTCGAGTCTGCCTCGGCTGTCAGGACCAGTCTGCAATAAAACGGACGCCTAGGACGCATCCGGACTCCGTTTTCGATGATCCACATATGGATGGAAAGCTAATTTGATAAGGAAGCCAATCCAAGTGGTTTCACATCAAAAGCTGTTCGGAATCAACAGGAATAGTCGAAACAAGTAAGCGTCCAGAATCTACCAGGGTGCTGCGACACCGTCTTTTGGTCCGTTGGACCATGTATCGAGTTTGGGCCCATTAGGGGCACGTCCAGGGGTCTTGCATGACCCTAGAGTCTTCATAAACAGCTGCCGCCCCTCCATTAGGGTTTGGATTTTGCTTAGATTATTCTGTCAAGAAACAGTTTCGACGTTCTTCGGTTTGTGAGACCCCAACTCGTGAGATTAATCATACATTTGCAATTTGGTTGCGATCTTTCTTGTTCTTGCTTGTGTTCTTCGTTGCGCAGGCAGGGATTAACCTTCTTGGCGAGGTCAACCTGGTCCGTGACTCGGTTGATAACCAGAGGAGCTGTGGTGCTAAGATTGCAGGGTTCGATCTTTCGATCTGAAGCCGGATCGGTGTGTCATTCTCCGCCACAACGATAGTTACCATCACCTGACGGAAGATCGGGATCCCCGTCTCCATTACTTCCCCTCGTCGGAGAGGAGAAAGACGATGGGTGCGGCGGAGGAGCTCTCGGTGCCCCCTCTCTGGGTTGCCTTACTCTCGGTGCTGAGCAGGAGCGGATGGAATGATCTGTCTCGGATCCTCTCTCCCCCCCAAAGGTCCGACCTTATCCCTTATATACCGAGATAGGTTAGGTACATGGCGGTTTGGGGGAAGTGTCTATGGTCTACATGCGCCGAAGTCTAGGAGGGTCTTGCATCGGTGCTCTGTGGACCACGGCGGTGCCGTGGAGCCAAAGAAGCCTTGGGCGTCATCTGGTTGCTATATTCTGACACTCTGCGTGTCAGGCTGTGTCGGCTTGGACCGTCCTCCCCTAGGTGGACCTTCTGGAGTCTTCTTGGTGGCGAAGGAGGTCAGCTCGAGGGGCAAATGTGCGGGCCCGAGAGCTACCCAGCCCTTGGAGGCCGAGGAGACTATCCTTCTTGTGTCATGCCCATGCGTGACCCTGTCACGGGAGCGGCCGGCAAGGTCGTGCCCGAAGTGTAGCGTCTGGGAGCCCTCGAGCCTCGATGGCTCGGGGCTTGTCTTCTTGCGCCCGGTCCTTGACTGGCATCGTAGGCCGGGCAGGAGCCAAGGGCCAAGCACGGGTGTATCATCGATTGGGAACCTGAGGCTCAGCCAAGCCCCGGGCCCTGAGCGGGGGTTGCGGTGTGCCTAGGTTCGGTCAGGTCTCTTCGGGTAGAAACCATTGATCCCGAGGCTTAACATACCCATATGTTAGGATCTCGTCACCGGCTTTACCACGGTAGTGGTAGACGGGTCCTAGTGACTCTTTTTAGGAGTAGAGATAATCAAGCTGTCGTAGTTGCCCTCTCCTCACTCACGTGCAGGCCTCCAGAGCCGCGGTTGCCTCCTATGTAGCTGGCCATCAGAGTAGCTCTCGAGGTGCTCGTGTGGGTCGCTGGAGCCGCCCTCGCCGTGCTCGCGTTGGTCGCCGGACACGCGCGTAACCTTGGAGGGGCGCCCGCCGGGGCCGCCGTGGGGGCGTGCTCGCCCGCCACCTAGGAGCTCGCCCGTCATGGGGGCTGATCCCGCCCGCCAGGGAAGACGGGGCATCTGGATCGAGTCTCACCAAGGTCACATGTGTCTCATCCTCCACAGGGCTATGGTCTGCAACCGTTGTCTCGCTACAAAGACGAAGGTGGAGGCGACACCCTAGGGTTCAGGGAGGTGAGTTAGGGAAGGGATCTGGAGGGATGCTGGGTGCAGGGAGAGCATGGGGCCGCCAGACAACGCGATAAGCACTAAGCGATGGGGCAGGCGACACATCGACGCAGGCGAGGCAGGGGCAAGCCGGCGGCGTATTGGGTGGAGGCCGCCGCGAGGAGCAAGATAGGCAGCCTCAGCTTCTGTTTTTTTTTCTTTTGATCGACGAGGGTCGAGGGTCAAGTGGCCGAGCGAGGAGGCGTGTGCGGGGAGAGGGCATGGGCCTGCATGTCGGCGCCAAAATTTTACAGGGAGGCGTGAGGTGGCCGGCTTCACCACGGTAGTGGTAGACGGGTCCTGGTGACTCTTTTTAGGAGTAGAGATAGAGATATTATGGCTTTTGGATACAACTGGACATCTTTCATTATTTGTAACTTTGATCGTTTGGTTATGATGTCAGCTAGTGTTTGTATGAGCAAAGTGTAATACCACGATAGTTTTTGTTAGGCGACAAACTGTGGTAGTGTACCGAGTACCCTGAAGCTGATTATGGAAGGAAACATATGACACCGCTTCATTTTCTTTGGACTTGGCCCTTGGGAACCTAAGTTTCGCTTGAAAGAGCACATTTGCTGGTAAAAGCGGGACATAAATAAAAAACATCTAAAACATGGATACTGGTGAATCACAACATAAAAATGTGTAACCGAGTTCAAGCATCCCATGCCACAAAAATTTCTCTGACAGGAAATTTAGTTGACTTTCAAACGTTCTTTTTTTTCGAAAGTAATATATAAACTAAAGTTGATTAAATAGTTAACCTACATGACTAGCATACAGTGCCCCAACCACACGGATTACACTCATAGGAAGATTTTCTCAACAATCCCTTGAATTCAAGCTGACAGAAATGGCCTCAGTAAATGATTGCAACATCAACTTCCAAAGGAGCAGCCTTTCTGCACAAACATCATATGCCTCCCAAGTGCCTAAGGACAAGAATCAGTGGTTGCCCTCTGATGGCTACGCATAGGAGAACGTGGGCTGTTGGGCAGTTGGTGGAGCTGGAGGAGCACCAGAAGTTGGACCTGCAGGTGCTGTTGGATTCGCTGGGTAAATGGCTGGAGGTGCTGCACTGTTAGGAATGGGGGCACCTGGGACTCCAGATGTTGGAGGCGGTAGCGGTGGAGGCCTCGGGAGTGGGGCCATCTGCATCGGCATAAAACCAGGTGGAGCGCCCGGTTGTGGCATGGAGCCAGGTGGGGCACCTGGTTGTGGCATGGAGCCAGGTGGGGCGCCTGGTTGCGGCATGGTTGGTGGAGCACCAGGATAACCTGACATGTTTGAAAAAACATTAACACAAAGTAGTCATTGTTTGGCTTGAATAAGTGAAATGTATCAGGATATCAATGGTTTTTATGAAAAATGTGAAGGACACTCTTCCAAAGGCCAACTTATCAGCTGTGCGAAGTCGGCACAACATTAAGCAACTACCTCCATCCACAAGTATAAGCATTTCTAGGAATTTTAGAACATTAAGGAGGAAGCAAAATGACTGGTAACCTTTTATCAACCGCTAAGATTACAGAGATGCAGTGCCTGCCAGAAACAGAAGGCTCCAGTTAAAATTTCAAACACCAACATCACGCTGATGCAAACAAGTATTTTTTTTTTTAGTTATGAGGGAGAGATAGGGATGATTACACAGGAAATGCTTACATCTGTCGACAAATTTTGCATGCTAGAAGTAGTAAATAGGGAGAGGGAGGGTTGATTAGCTAGTAAACAAGGATGCTTATAATGCTTAGTCAATATGATCTATAACTTACAAATTTATCTCAATAATTACAGATACACAATCTATTTATCAACTAACCAATCTATTTATCAACTAACAGAAACATAGTACCGTGGTTTGAGATAAACATGAAAACAAAAAAAAAATATCAGACTACTCTAATTTAAGCATTTTAGATCTCCAATTCTCCACTCATCACAAACCACATGATTAATTGCTTTAGTAAAGGTAAAAACTGGGGAGTTTTTGAGAATATTTACAGCTTGTTCTAAAAATTCTATTTCGTTCCCAGAAAAAGTATCAGTACAGAACAGTTTGCACATATTTGTTTCCTTGCAGAAAATGAAGACCAGTTTCTTCTGGATTGGAACTGCGCAAAGGGTTTAGAGATGGCTTAAAGTCACTAGTAACTACAAATCAGGATGTACCCAAAACAAATGAAATCCATGAAAGTTTATGGTACAAAATAAACCAAACCTAATTAACTGACATATGGTAGGTAACAAGCGTACCAATGCCCTATTAAGCAACATGAAAATAATTAATGTACTGTTGAGATACATGCAGAAGAAACTGAAATGGGCCATAACAAACAAGTAGCACTCTTTGCAGAACATTCAACTTTTGATGTTTGTTCTGCTAAGGTTGGAGGCAGGGATAAATGTAGTTATTGTCTTCAATGAAGAAAGCAATATAGAATTAATGGGAAGAGGCATAAATTATGGGTTATAGACATGTACACATAGTAGTCATCATAATAGATGCTAGCAATCATGATGAATGATACAAACAGCAGCCCTGTTTACCTGGAATACCTGGAGCTGGTAAAATCGGGGGTTTAACTCCTGGCATCAATGGGGTGCCAGGTGCTTGAGGGAATCCATGAGGCATGCCAGGGGTTGGCAGAATTGGAAGACGAGGGCGTGCCACAGCTCCTGGGAATGCGAGCATATGTTGGTTGAAAGGGGCACCTGCCTGGAAAGCTGCAGCTTGTCCAAGATGCTCCTTGATTCTTTGATCAATTAAACTTTGAGTTTGCTGCTCCTCAAATTGCTGATAGTAGGTTCGAACATTCGCCTAGAATATTTCAAATAAGGTTGAGATTATACAAAAACAAATTGGGACTATGGAGATTATACAAAGAATAAAATAAATACCTTGTGTTTGTATCCAGCATTGTGCTGCTTCCGGACAGATGGCTGCAACATTTTTTACAAAGTAGTCAACTCAGGTTTCAAAAAGAAGACGAGAAATAAAAACAGAGTACATGGTAGCAAAGAACAGACAGCATTGTTGGATCTATACAGTTTGCAGAAGCAACTACGCTGAAATCACTTGTATGCAATATATGAAAGTCTAAAAGGGAGAACACCTATTTCAGTTCAAGAAAGCCAAGAGAACTGTAGTTTGTGAATATCTCATACATTATGCAAGCCTGAATAGGCAGCTACCTAGTGCATGGTTACATAAAGGATGGAGCACTACAGTCTATATTGAGCATCAATAATTTCAAGGACCACACAATGGGAGCTAGAAACAAAACTGAATTGAGCCACTGAGATGAACAAACATCAACAAGTGGCATAAATAACTCTTATTTCTCTTATGTTCATTAAAGCTTATACTTGGCAGGTGGCAGCAACACAACTTATGCTTAGATTAGATTACTGCATGCAATCCTAAGGAAACCTCCGAAGAAATGATGAGCCTGCTACATGTCTGTAGCCTTAGAAAATTGAAGCACAACAAGACACTCACCGAGTCATGGGTCAGGTAGGTGTCGCAGTAGTCACAGTAATACCTGCACGGTAAGAACAAGAGACAAGTCAGAACACGAGCTAAGACATAAATCGAAAGGAACATATATAACAACGGAGCACAGACAGAGGCAGGTAGTATCATCTAACCGGCTCCCGGCGAGCAAACCCAGACCCTAATCCTACCGCAACGTGGAATCGACCAGCGAGATCTTGGCGCAAATCATGGGACGCCAGTGCTAGGGTTTCAAATCCAACGCCTATCACCCCACCCCACAACCGCACCCCCGTGGATGGACATATGGTGAGTAACCAAGACAAAGAAGCGCTCGCCGAGGCATCGCAGCGGCGGAGGACGGCAGTGGAGGAGAAGGGGGCCGCGTCTCGGTCGACAATGGGGTCGGAGGCTTGGAGCAGGGGCACCAGACTCTGCTGCGCCCTAAACCCTTGCCAATACGAGCCGCTCGAGAGTTAAGCCTTCCAGGACCCTTAAAGGGCTGGGCCGGTCAATGGCAAGTAGGCCCATCCGAATCGGGCTCGATGATGGCCCATAAGCTGAGTCCTGACCACCGGTCACCGCCCCTGCGTAGCGAGTACTTCGCCCTCGTCATTCGTCAAGGCGCAGCGCAGCCGCCGCTGGCGGCCAGAGATGGCGCGTCGCGGTGTACAGCTCCTGGTGGCACGGGGGATCTCCTCGTCGCCGTGCCTGTCTCGGAGGATCAAGCAAACAGGTGAGGCGCGTCTTTCTTCTTTCACTTATTTCGGTTTCCTATCTCGCTTTCGAGAAATTTCGGGTAGTGTCAGTACCCTGGCTATCAGTGTAGTGTATGGGTGTGCTTAGCACATTTTTGGATTCCGCGTGAAGTTTTAATGAGAACTAGATTGATCTAAGTAAGGTCGGATTTATAGAGATCAGACAAAATCGAAAGCAGTGTGGTGGTAGTGGGGCTATGAAGTTGGGATGGATGTGGATTTGTGTTGGGAAACATGCTTTCAACTACCTGGTGTATCCAAAAGAAAAAGAAAAAAAAACGATGGATTCTTTTGATATGTCACCAGAATGCGGAGTGAGGAGTGGCGATGTTCTGTATATGGCTACGACAACAATAATATAGTCATATAGTCTTTCAGTCCAAACAAGTTGGAGTAGCTTACAGTTGAAACCCATCCAGAGCCCCAAGTCACACTTTAGTCCTGTTTTCCAAGCACTCCTATTCAAACATAGATCTCTAGGTATATTCCAAGTTTTGAAATCTCTTTTTATTGTCTCTCCTCATGTTAATTTTGGTCTTTCTCTACCTCTCCTTATATTATTAGCTTGGCTTAGGACTCTACAATGCAATGGTGTTTCTGGAGGTCCCCTTTAGACATGGCCAAACCACCTCAACTCAACTGATGGTGGATAAGCTTTTCTTCAATTGGTGCTACCCCTAGACGATCACGTAAATTATCGTTTCGAACTCGGTCCATTCTTGTGTGACCATAAATCCATCGCAACATATGCATTTCTGCAACACTCAGTTGTTGAACATGTCAAATCTTTGTAGGCCAACATTATGCTCCACACAACATAGCCGGTCTAATCGCCGTTCTATAAAACTTGCCTTTTAGTTTTTGTGATACCCTCTTGTTACAGAGAATGCCAAAAGCTTGTCGCCACTTGATCCACCCTGCTTTGATTCTATGGCTAACGTCCGCATCAATATGTCCATCCCAATATAGCATCGATCCCAGATACTGAAATGTATCCTTCTTAGGCACTACTTAACCTTCCAAACTCACATCTCTCTCCTCATGTGCAGCTCCGTCAAAGTCGCATCTCATGTATTCGGTTTTAGTTCTGCTCAATCTAAAACCTTTAGACTCAGGGGTCTGTCATCATAACTCTAGCTTCCTATTTACTCTCGCCTGGCTTTCGTCCACTAACACTACATCATCAACGAACAACATACACCAAGGGATATCTCCTTGTATGTTTCTGGTAACCGCATCCATTACCAAGGCAAAGAGATACGAGCTTAAGGCTGACCCTTGATGAAGTCCAATTTTAATCGGGATGACTTCCCGATTAGGATAGGACTACATCAAGGGTCAGCTTTGAGCTCTTATTTGTTTGCTTTAGTGATGGATGAGGTCACAAGGGACATACAAGGGGACATCCCTTGGTGTATGCTTTTCGCGGACGATGTAGTGCTAGTTGATGAAAGCCGGACAGGAGTGAATCAGAAACTGGAGTTATGGCGGGAGACTTTGGAGTCCAAAGGTTTTAGACTTAGTAGAACTAAAACTGAGTATATGAGATGTGACTTCGGCACTACTACTCGGGAGGAGGAAGATGTTAGTTTGGAAGGTCAAGTAGTGCCTAGGAAGGATACCTTTCGATATTTAGGATCAATGCTACAGAGGGACGGGGATATTGATGAAGATGTTAGCCATAGAATCAAAGCAGGGTGGATGAAGTGGCGGCAAGCGTCTGGTGTCCTATGTGACAAAAGGGTACCACAGAAGCTAAAAGGCAAGTTTTATAGGACGGCGATTAGACCTGCTATGTTGTATGGTGCAGAATGTTGGCCTACGAAAAGACGACATATTCAACAGCTAAGTGTCGCGGAAATGCGTATGTTGCGTTGGATTTGCAGTCATACAAGAAGGGATCGAGTTCGGAACGATGATATACGTGAGAGATTAGGGGTAGCGCCAATTGAAGAAAAGCTTGTCCAACACCGGTTGAGATGGTTTGGACATGTGCAACGGAGACCTCCAGATGCACCGGTGCGTAGTGGAATCCTAAGTCAGGATAGTAACGTGAAGAGAGGCAGAGGAAGACCGAAGTTGACTTGGGTAGAGACAATAAAAGGAGACTTGAAAGGATGGAATATACCCAAAGACTTAGCCTTAGATAGGAGTGCTTGGAAGACATCTATTCACGTGCCTGAACCTTGATTGCTTCTGTTGAGTTTCAACTCTAGCCTACCCCAACTTGTTTGGGACTTAAAGGCTTTGTTGTTGTTGTTGTTGTTGTACCATCGTTTGTTCGAACACTAGTCATAATATTGTTGTACATGTCCTTGATGAGGGTCACGTATTTTGATGGGACTTTATGTTTGTCCAAAGACCACCACATACCATTTCTTGTTATCTTGTCATAAGCCTTCTCCAAGTCAATGAAAACCATGTGGAAGTCCTTCTTCTGCTCTCTAAACCGCTTTATAACTTGTCTTATTAAGAAGATTGCTTCTGTGGTTGACTTTCCGGGCATGAAACCAAATTGGTTTGTTGATATCTCCATCGTTCCTCGCAGGCGCTGCTCGATAACTCTCTCCCATAGCTTCATAGCGTGGCTCATCAACTTAATTCCCCGATAATTAGTACAACTTTAGATATCTCCCTTGTTCTTGTAGATTGGTACCAATATGCTTTTTCTCCATTCCTCAAGCATTTTGTTCTATCGAAAGATATTGTTAAACATCTTGGTTAGCCATACTATAGCTATATCCCCGAGACATCTCCACACCTTGATTGGGATACCATCAGTGCCCATCGCTCTGCCCCCTTTCATCCTTTTCAAGGCTTCTCTGACCTCCAATTCTTAAATCCTCCGCATAAAGCGCCTATTAGTGTCATCAAACGAGTCGTCTAGCTGAACGGTGGTGTTCTCATTCTCACCATTGAACAATTTATCAAAATACTCTTGCCATCTATGTCTGATCTCATCCTCCTTCACCAAGAGCTGCTCCGTCTCATCCTTTATGCACTTGACTTGGTTGAAGTCGCTTGTCTTCCTATCACGAGCCCTAACCATCCTATAAATGTCCTTCTCTTCTTCCTTTGTACTCAAACGTTGGTAAAGGTCCTCATAGGCCCGCCCCTTTGCCTCACTCACCGCTCGTTTTGCAGTCTTCTTTGCCACCTTATACTTCTCTATGTTGTCTGCACACCTGTCATGATACAAGCGCTTATAGCACTACTTCTTTTCCTTAGTAGTCTTTTGCACATCTTCATTACACCACCAAGTGTCTTTCGAGTCGCATCCGCTCCCTTTGGTCACTCTAAGCACCTCTGAAGCAACCTTGCGAACGCATGTTGCCATCTTCTCCCACATGCTGTTTGCATCACCTTCATCCTTCCAAGGGCCCTCTTCGATGACCTTTTCATTAAAGACCTTTGATGCCTCCCCTTCTAATTTCCACCACTTCGTTCTAGCAACCCTAGCTTGTTTGTTCCCACGAGCTTGCACCAGAAAGTGAAAATCAGCCACCACCAGCTTGTGTTGAGCGACCACACATTCTCCAGGTATCACCTTACAGTCCACGCAGCAAAAATTGTGTTGCAGTTTGCTTTATTTGGGTTCTGTTAGAGCTTGTGGGAATTCCCAACCTCAGCTTTATTATTTGCAAAAGGGAAGATATTACATAAGTCAGATTTGATGAATTGACACATAATATGTCTGTTGATATTAAGTAATGTAATGTGAAATTTGCTATGTTTAGTATGAGTAAATTAATTCCTATGTTCAGTCAGTACCAGAAACCAAGTAGAATGAATTTCCTACAAACATAGTTCACAAGTTGTCCTTCCAGATTAGAAGCTGAAGTGAGTCTTGATTTGATGTGCGTTTTGTTAGTTTTTAGTTTTAAAAAAAAAAAAAGAGCTTTTCTGATGATGACTGAAATGCCATGTTTTTTCTTACTATCTTTTCCCCTTCCCTTGACCACTCTTGATTTTTTGGCTTTCAGAAAGTGAGATTGTTCGGATGTTTCATCCTCCAGTTCGTCAGAGTGAGGAAGCAATAGCAACCATTGTGCCAAGATACACACATTCTGTGCGTGTCTTGGATGAGAGGTTCATTAGGATCCTGAAGATATTCAAGTGGGGCCCTGATGCTGAGAAGGCACTGGAGGTTCTCATGCTTAGAGTTGATCACTGGTTGGTACGGGAGGTTATGAAAACTGACATTGGGGTCAACGTGAAGATGCAGTTCTTTAGATGGGCTGCAAAGCGGAGGAATTATGAGCATGACACATCCACTTACATGGCATTGATACGTTGTTTGGAAGTAGTGGAGCAGTATGGTGAGATGTGGAAGATGATCCAAGAAATGGTACGGAACCCCATTTGTGTTGTCACCCCAACAGAGCTTTCAGAGGTAGTTCGGATGCTGGGGAATGCTAAGATGGTCAGCAAGGCAATTGCAATCTTCTACCAGATCAAAACGCGGAAGTGTCAGCCAACTGCGCAGGCATATAACAGCATGATAATAATGTTGATGCATGAGGGCCAATATGAGAAAGTCCATGAACTATACAATGAGATGAGCACTGAGGGTCATTGCTTCCCAGACACTATGACATACAGTGCACTTATTTCTGCTTTTTGCAAACTAGGTCGCCGTGATTCAGCAATTCAGTTGTTGAATGAGATAAAGGAGAACGGAATGCAGCCAACTACTAAGATATATACAATGTTAATAGCTTTGTTTTTCAAATTCGATGATGTTCATGGAGCATTGAGTTTGTTTGAAGAGATGAGGCATCAGTATTGCCAACCGGATGTATTTACTTACACTGAGTTGATCAGGGGCCTTGGTAAAGCTGGAAGAATAGATGAAGCATATCACTTCTTCTATGAAATGCAGCGAGAAGGCTGCAGGCCAGACACAGTTGTTATGAATAATATGATAAATTTCTTAGGCAAGGCTGGTCGTTTGGATGATGCTATGAAGTTGTTTCAGGAGATGGGAACATTGCGGTGCACTCCTAGTGTAGTGACATACAATACTATCATAAAAGCACTTTTTGAATCAAAATCTCGTGCTTCTGAGGTTCCATCTTGGTTTGAGAGAATGAAGGAAAGTGGAATCTCCCCCAGTTCATTCACCTATTCTATCCTGATTGATGGATTCTGCAAAACCAACAGGATGGAGAAGGCCATGATGCTACTGGAGGAGATGGATGAAAAGGGTTTCCCTCCATGTCCAGCGGCATATTGCAGCCTGATTGATGCTCTTGGAAAAGCTAAGCGCTATGATCTTGCTTGTGAGCTTTTTCAGGAACTAAAGGAAAATTGCGGCTCGTCCAGTGCTCGGGTATATGCAGTTATGATTAAACACTTAGGAAAGGCTGGACGGCTTGATGATGCTATAAATATGTTTGATGAAATGAACAAACTTGGTTGTGCTCCTGATGTTTATGCGTACAATGCTCTCATGTCCGGATTAGCAAGAACGGGCATGCTTGATGAAGCTCTTAGTACAATGAGAAGAATGCAAGAACATGGGTGTATTCCTGATATCAATTCATACAATATTATCCTTAACGGGCTGGCAAAAACAGGAGGACCTCATCGTGCAATGGAGATGCTTTCTAACATGAAACAATCTAAAGTAAGACCTGATGTTGTCTCTTATAATACTGTCCTTGGTGCCTTGAGTCATGCTGGCATGTTTGAGGAGGCAGCAAAGCTGATGAAAGAGATGAATACATTGGGGTTTGAGTATGATCTTATTACATATTCGTCTATACTTGAAGCTATTGGAAAGGTTGATCATGAATATACTGGCCAAGGTTGCTGATGGGCAATAGATGGGTGTTGTTTGTTTTCCACATAACACACCTAATGCAGGCTTTCTTTCTTGAAAAAAAAATATTCTTTTGGAGAGCTTTATCTGTTTGCATGTGTGAAAAGATGTGCCTCATGCTTACTCAGGTGAATTGTTGTAAAAGAAAATACTGAACACTGAAACTGATCAAACTGTAAAGGTGTATATTTCACTAATTGATCATGTCGCCTGTATTGTCCAGTCCTATTACTTTTGAGTATCTTTTGCTAATACACAATTACAAGTCTAACTACAGTTAGTTTTTGCGAAGGTGTGAATCATCTGACATTTTTTCCTGAAAGGTTTGAGATCACTGAAGCACAAGCCTAACTACTATATGTTGAGATGTTTCTTCAGCAACCCACATTCACTGGTATACACTCCTGAAGTCCAAGCCGGTGTTACTGTGCACAACTCTAATTTTTTCAATCATTCTATTACAGTGAAAGAAAATATGGAACACTTATTTGTCACACATTTCTCTTGTGTGGCCATGTCCTGGATTTGGACATGGATAAATGCTGGTGTCCTTTTGATGTTGGCACTGCTGAAACTGACTTTTATTTTCGGTTACTACTCTAATGGGTTACATTTCTCAGCTGCTGAAACAGGATGGTAGCATATAGATGTTCCATGGAAAAGAAAGGTTCCTGGGTCAAGCTATGTAGGTTCTTGAGTCAAGCTATGTAGGTTCCTGGGTCAAGCTATGTAAGCATCCACATTGCAGATCTACCTTCCGCTACTAGCATGTAAAGCAAGATTCCATTCCACCGGAAGACAATGCAAGAGCAAGAAGGCAAGTTTGGGGTCAAAACTAATCTGAAGGCACATGAAGTTGCATGCTTAACTATTAGCCTCTGACAGAGCCTTTTGTTCCTGAGATTCCTGTATAACTGTGCATGTATGGTCCTTGCCATATACAGATATACGCTCATGCACTTAGCACAGCTCAACGGCATGTGAACAATCACATTGTTTTTTGAAAGTGAATGTCATCACATGACAGGTTCGTGCATTTGTTCCTGAATCCTGGTCCTGACCATGGTCATACCTGGGCCAGCTGATGGGGGCCAGTGATAACCTATTCGCTCGTTGGTTTCAAACAGGACTGTTTTCCTCTCATAACAAATCAGCACCAGTCGGGCTTATCAGTCTAGAAACCAACCAGCGAACAGACCTTCGTAAAAAGAACTGGTCATGTAAATTTTAGTTAGGATTCAAATTCAGTTACTTCAACTGTCCAATCTGAATTGTTTATGCACGTACATATCAGAAATCCAGTTTTGACTGAAACATCAACTCAGCCTGACATCAGAATCATGGGATGATCAATATGCCATATGTGGTACTGGCAATTCCACAGATGTCAAATATTTTTAGAAGATCCAGAAATGAATGAACGAACCATGCTCGCACCAAATAAATCTTGCGGTCTTAATTACTTCTGTAGGGAAGCACCGGACCTCTGACACTGATTGTTAGGGCATGAATGTATGTATAATTGTATATACACATGTTATATATTTATTTATATGTATACCTCATCTGGAATAATATAGGAATTCAGGGAACTACATGCAGTTTGCTACTACACTGCTATTGTTGGACGGCATCAACCTAGCAATGACTAGATACAACAGAAAGAATAGCCAAAAGCGTTTAAAGATCAGACCCTGTCGTACGGCCATAACTTCATCTTTGGAGACAAGCAAGAGATAATCAAGAAAAAATCTCCTGAATTTACATGTCACTGCAATTGCTGTTGTCTGGAAATCTGGCGAAGCCCTGCTTCCAGGTCTTCCAACGTGATCGTGATCATAGTATCAGTGTCATCGCAGTTGAAATCAAGCCGTGAATCCAGGTTCTCACGGGCATTGATGAGCAGTGTGTCTACAAGGCCTCCATTCATCTGTTTCCGCCGCTCTTCGGTGGTCTCTCTGGCAATCAGCTCTCCAATGACTTCAATGCTGCAGCTTGGGTGTAGCTTAAACCCATAAAGCAAGCTACTCTCACTTGGGCTCTTCATCTTCATATGTAGGATCTCTGCTAGTTCTGTCGTGCTGAAATCGTCAAAATAGAAGAATTTTGTGACCCGCCTACAGAAGCCATCATTCGAGGCGATGACTCGCTTCATTGGCTCACAGTACCCAGCAAATATGACAACTATCTTGCCACTGTCCATTACAGACATTATTTCCTCCAAGGCTTCTAAACCATAATCCTTGTCATCGGATTTTTGCATTGGTATCAACCTGTAAGCTTCATCCACGAAGAGAATACCTCCCTCTGCGTCTTGTATCTGTTGAGCCATATCATGGTAACAATGTATTATGTAAGGTAGAACATGTAGAAATAAGTTCAGAATTTGTTTCACAATTTCTCTGAAATTGAAAATTGTGCAGCTGACAAAGCCTTTCTGACAAAAAAAAAATCGAGGATAAAATACCTTCCTCCTAGTCTTTGCTCCAGTATGCCCCACGAATTCTCCAACAAGATCAGTTCGCTGAACTTCAGTTACTTTGTCAGTAGGGAGAATTCCAACCATGTGAAGGAGCTTTCCAAGAATTCGAGCAACCATAGTTTTGCCTGCAATAGAGGATGGATAGTATAAACAGAATATTGATGTTTTCAGTAACTATCTTACCTGAAACTTGTGCATTTTACAGCACTGTACGTGTAAGTGCAAATTGTATAAGAAGCAGGCAAAATTACAAAGAATGTAGCCTTTTAAAGACATGTTTAGCCAAACTTTTAGGTAACTACTCTTAGTTCATGATCAGAGCAAAAGCTCCCAAAAAGATGTTTAGTATTGCATAGCTGATTGTAACTGTACCATACAAACCCAATGCAATGATGTGCAACACTATGAAAGCACCCTAAGGATAAACCATGGCAAAGCACTTGATCATAGAACTGAACTGTGATAACACAAAAAAGGTTGCTTCTTTCAAAATTTTACCAGTTCCCGGATTGCCAAGAAATGCCATATGGGGAGCTCTCCTTCTAGCAATCCCTAAGCCCATAGCCCGTCGCTTCTCATCAAAAAGCATTCCCCTTGCCCATCGGCGCAATTGCATTTTTAGCTCCTGCAATCCAACAATTTGTGATATTGCCTCTTCCAACTCTGACATTGCTTTCCCTTCGAGGCATGACATGAGAGCTTTCTTTTTTCTTTGCTCTTCCATATGATGAGTGAGGAGTTTCAGCAACTTCTCACTACCAGCTCCTCCCGGAATATGATTTAAGGGCATTTTGCCTTCCTGGTGAAAAGATGTTATAACAAACCTTACCACATTGTAAATTATAATATGATTTTAAACAAGTAATTTAAAACCATTACTGTGAATCAAGTAGTACATCATCTTTTGCAAAGCAATCCGCGTTGTAGCTTAGTAACACGCTAACTGTGCTGCAGTCTCCAGCTTGAAGTGCATGCCAGACAGCTAAGTGCAATGGTGTCATGCCGTTCTGCACCACCATGAGTTGAACATATCAAATTTTGTGCATGCAATAAGACAATCTCAACGGAAATGAAAAGAAATAGGTAGATCATACATTGGCTTTGGCTTCTATGTGTGCACCATGTTCAAGGAGTAGATTTGTTGATCCGCAAGAACTGTTCTTCACTGCCATATGCAGAGGAGTCTCTCCATACTGTCAAAAAATGAGATAATTGGTTTATGCATTAAGCTCGATGCATGAAAGAAGTGTGGCAGAGTACCCAATCAGATGCAAAAGAAATGTGGCAACATAATTACCATGTTCTTTGCCTCCAGAGCAACTGTTTCTGCACCTTGCTGGTTAAGCAAGAACTTGACTATTTCTGTATTATTGTAGCCAGCAGCAACATGAAGTGGTGTTTGACACATCTGCAAATTACTATATTTTCAGAGAGGCTAGATTGCACAATGTTCCATGCAGTACTTATTAAATCTAATTAGTTTCTGCCTGTAAATGACTAGTTTGCGCTGCGCCCGGAAGGCAATTAAAGCCACAATTGCCAGCAAATAAAGTCAGGTTCAGGTTAGTGCATTACGGCAGCATAGTGATTAATCAGGTCCACAAAACAGAAAGGTCTAAACTCTAGATCAGCAAATTGAAGGCGATAAGAAGGGACACGAATGCGAGCCTGCCTAATGGAAATGGCCGCAGAATTTTTTTGAATTATAAAAGCAAATCGTAATTACATCAGACCTAACGATTTAATCTTGCCTGCAAAGAACCAAAGAAGCAAGATAAAACAAATCTCGAGAGTGAATCCGGGGATCTTTTTTAAACAAACAACAAGAAATGAAAAATACAATAAAAATATCAATCATTAGTATCATCTTCTTGGCGCAGAAAGCATGGAAACGGCAGAGACAGAAGGAACCAGACGATAAACGCATCGGCTACACAATGGAGCAAATGAGCAATTAAGTCCCATTCAGGAGCGAACGCAAGCTAAACGCGCACTAAAGAAGAACGGGAACGAGGAGCAAACGCCACCCCGCCGCCCAAGAAATCTGTTCCAAGAAAAAGGAACTATAGAAAGCACAATACCAAAGCGCAAATTAGCCAACGCTGCCTCACCGCCCGGGACAAAATTCAAGAATCGGCTCAAGAAAATCAAGCTACGTTTACACGACTCCGAGCAAACTCACATTTCTACACATTAAAGAAAAAGAAATCAGTTCCTAATGAATCTAATACGCTCACCCCTCACAGCAAGCATCAAGAACCGTGAAACCGACCAAAGATCGCATTTCTTTAAGCGAGAAAAGAAGCACGGATGCTGCACGCACCACGGGATTCTTGTCGTTGAGGAGGGCGGGGTTCTCCCGCAGCTTCCTCTGGACGCCGGCGAAGTCGCCGGCGCGCGCAAGACCGTGGATGGTATCGGCTTTGACCGGCCGAGGCCTCGGCCCCCCGTTCTGGCTCCCCGGCATCTCCTCCCTCCCCCTCCTGTGAACCTCCACCTCCGTGTGTGCGCC